GCATGCGAGAGGTAGCGGGATCGATGCCCGCATCCTCCAAACTATTTGTTGTTTGTTTACGACAACAAAACAAACAGTAATGAAGTTTTATCTCACACGTTGCTGAAAAGATCTTCTCTGGTGAGTCGTATTTTTTATAGATATGTTATATTACAGTCTATTTCATTTTTTATTTTATATTTACACTTATATTGTTTACCTTGTGTGTTCTGTGCAATCACTACTGTTTTACTGTAGTAGTATTTTGTTTGTACTACTGGCTGCAGGTATAAAGAAGCATTTCACTGTGCATTGTACTATGTGTAACTGTATGTGACTAATTAGCTGCACAGTCAAAGTGAACGCCTGAAGAGTGATGGCCGAAAGTTGTTAAGAGAGAAATTACAGCGAAATGTAGATGTTTTTTATCGGTTGCAAAGATGCAGATTTACAGAGAAACTTTCTGTATTTCACTATATATAGTGACGTCTAATCGTTCAGGGCAGCATGGGGGATTAGCTCAAATGGAGGGAGAGTGTCACCACATCCAGCTCAGGGAAACGAGTGGCAGCACTAACAAATGTAAATGATGGGAGTTTGAATAAAACGTCACCAAATTTGAACCTAAAACTAAGTGTAAATCTCATCTTTTGATTTTCCTATATTGTGCCTTCAGGTGAGAAATTCTACAGTAAATATTTGCCATGAAGAGGTTTTTATCATTTCTGTATCTAGCTGTATACATTATTTATAACTATCCAGAAAACATCTTAAAGGTTCAGCTCCTAACTAGTTAAACACAAGAGCTTCCCCCGGAGGGAGGGGTGGTGCTCTGTCTGTTGGTTTAATTATTATTCTGCATTTTCTATATTTTGTCAAGTTGAGGGAGGACCTCAGGATGTAGGACATGAGAGCGTACTTGACCATAATATAAATATCTAAATTGTTTTATTTCAAAATCTTCAGACATTTTTACGAATGTATGTAATTAAGCTAAATGAATGAGTTAAGGTTGACAGCACATTGGGGCAGCAGCTGATCCATTAATGTATTCTTCTATGATCACTGATATAAAACAATAGGAGCATCACACAGTGTATTTACGGTTGTATGGATGAGCTGTATCAGCATATTGTTTGTCTGTGTAATTTATTTTAAATACATTTTATTTCTTACAGCTTTTATTATTTTACATTTCAAATGTACTGTTGGAGCCGGTTGGAGGAGGGGAGGCTTGAGAGGGCAGATTATTGAGAGAATAAGAGAATAAAAATATCACAATATCAACATGCAGATGGTGTTTAATTTAAGATATACTCTCGTTGACTAGTATGATTATTTATTATGTATTGTGTTAAATCTGTGATAATATTAAAATCTTTTATACTGAAATTACTTCATATAACTCATTTTGTGGATGTTTGATTAAACATTTGCTGAAATAAGAAATGTACTACTTTCTATATTTAGATTTTATTGTTTACTGTTTATTGTTTACTTTCTATATTTAGCTAAGAGTTTATTGTTTATCTTATACTGTATTTTTTTTTTTGTTTTTTTTATACCTCTTATTTTCTATAGAAGTGTTTTTTGTAAGCTGCTGAAAATCCAATTTCCTTGCGGGAGTCATCCCAAAGGGATCAATAAAGAAGTCTATAATAGAAACAGTACAAATTACAGTAAGACAGTGAATGTCACTGCAGACTCAAAATTTGACTCAGAAGGTAAAACAGGATGGATACAGGCTGGAAAGAGGATGGATGCAGGATGGAGGTGCTCAAATCTGTCCAACAGCTGCTCCATTTTACCACACCGTCTCCACTGAAGGAGCAGCAGCGCCCTCTGCTGTCAGCAAACAGAAGTTAAAGATCTCCCAGCAGCTGGTTTTCACACTCAGTCCCACATCCAAGTGGGAAACCAGGTCTGACCCAACATAGCCTCCAAAATGAGACTAGGTCAGGTGTGTTCACTCAATGGGATTATAAGCAGGAAGCACCGTCAGCCAGGAGGAAGTGTCTGGGAATGACTCCCCAGTCTCTGACTCTTCCAACTCATACTTACCTGGCAGGGGAGATACCATGATCAAGAAGGTGGTTCACCCAGGGCGAGGCTCAACCGTTGTGCTGATTCCTCTGAGTGGGCTGGATGAAATGCACATTTATCTGCAGATTCTATGACTCAACATGGCAGTTTGGGAGTTTTATCCCCCTCTTTAATAAATCCTGTAAATGGACATGAATGACGGCAGTGTCTCAGACAGCTGTGGAGGTCCCAGCATCAGCAACCCGGGCAACAACAGTGCCTGACTGTGCACAAGGTAAAGCACAGCCCTCTCACTAAATGCTAAATGTACTATTAAATTTGACACAAAAGCAGGAAGATAAGGTCCAGCTTTCGTTCATCATCTGCTTTTGGAGTCACAGCTGCCAGAGAGGGAAGGACATAAAACTGAAAACTGCATGTGACACACACTGATGTTTGCATGTGGGTGGATGTTCTGGATGAGGGCTTGAAGTCAGGGGCTGATATTGGTGGGGGGTTAGCTGATCTTGCCTCACTGCTGCCTCCACCAACTCACACAACTGAGTGCTGCCCTTTCTTATGACTTTATGTGTAATGATGTAGGTGGAGCACTGCATCATGGGGGATTAGCTCAAATGGTAGAGCGCTCGCTGCGCAAAGGAAGGGAGCCAATCTTTTCGCCCCCTCACGCAAGTAAAAAATACTGGAAAAATACTGAATAATGAAATAACATATATATTTTCCCCTGCAACAATATCCAGGTGATATCCCTGTGCGTTNNTCGATGCCCGCATCCTCCAAACTTATTATTTCTCGACCATAGCACAGAGGCTCTGCCCAAAACACTGAATCTGTCCAAAGAAGAAAAAAGAAGCCTATTATGTTACTAATGTATTATAACAATCATACAGCCTGAAACTTGTATAAAAACTTCCCTAAACAGGAAATAATCTGCTCAGAAATTCATTCCAAATCTCTCGTTTGTGTAACACAAACTTCCTGCAGTATACTGAGTTCACTGTTCGGTTCGATGTGTACAGTTTTTGATATAATATAAAATATGTCACTGAGTCAGTTTAATTAATGATAGAAAAGGGAAATATTAAGGAAAAAGGTTGGGAACCGCTGCATTACATTACTGCGGCATTAGAAATCAATACATTGGTTTATTCCCAAATACATGTATTTTTACATTGAATTTAAGCCTATTATAAAATTTATTCAAGTTAAAGTTATTTTTAAAATCAATCTGAATTAATCTGTTAAATTTGACACCAAACTGTGGTGGCCAGGCCTCGTCTAGCCCTCCCTACCTAGATCCACTCCTGAGTCACAGTGGAAGGATATATGAAGAGAACATAAGGGCTCGTCAACATAAGTAGCTTTAATTAATACTTTGAATGAATAAAATCGGACATGCAGAGAAATGACAACATGAAGAACGTGAGCAGAAGGGCTTCCGGGGGGATCAAAACACGCAATCGTACACCAACATCAGTCGACACCATCAACCCAAACAAACACAGTTCTGTTATATTTGAGTCCTGACTCCTCGGCGTTCCCGTTGTCCCGTGGTGACGAGGCCAGCCAGCTCGGTTTGGGAGCAGAGTCTCGAACCAATCAGCACTTGGATTAAAGTCCCGGCGCTGTCTGCTCCCAAGTGTCCAAAAGCAAAAACAAAAAAATCGCTTTCCCCTTAATGTCAGTGCAGAGCTGCAGCAAGCGGAAAGCAGCCGGGCAGCGAGGACAAAGGATCCGGTTCTGCTCGCCGCCCATCGGTCGCCTAGCTCACATGAAGTCGTCTGAATCGTTACCGTCCTGCCAACGACACGCAGCGACGTTAATGTGGAGAGTCAAACACTGACATTCAGTTAATCTGAGGAACACACTGATCTGTCCTCACCTCATTAGTCTGCATGTTCTCACTCTTCATCAGTGACGAATAGTTCCTGGAGAGAGAATGTACAGAGATTTAATATAGTATATATTTAGTTTATAGTATAGTACGTATTCAAGTACAGTTTTAAATGATTGGCTTTAGTAGCAGAAGGTTTAGGATTGTCACACGGTGTCCTTCCATGATGTGAGGTGATTTAAAGTGGAACTGCAGATTTTGATGAATTTGGTAAGAATGTGAATATTAAACAGCAGCACTGATGTGTTTTTAATCACAGTACAGTCATATGATTCAGTTTCTGGCTCAAAAAGCACATTTAAGTGTGGAGTACCTCTTTAAAATCTTTAGGATGGACACTGAGGATCACTGGTTTCAGTATGTGGATGTTTTAGTGAAGAGTTAAAAGCTAGGGATAAAACAACGTTACAGTATTCCACTGACTCAATGACCTACCGGAGTTCCTCCATCTCCTTTTTCCTCCTCTGCTCGTCCTTCTCTTTCTTCTTCTGGTCCTGGAGCAGCGCTTTCTTCTCGTTCCTCTCCTCCCTGTCTCTCGACTCTTTCTCCGCCGCCAGGTCGGGGAGGCGCTCCACTTTCGTTTTCTCCAGCCGGTTTACAATCTCGTTGATCTTCTTCTCCACCGCCACGATCTTCACCTGTGAAACACATCGGCATCAAACCCCCGAACCGGTTGTTCGTTTGACGTCACTCTGTCATTTCCATGTCGTTCATACGGACCTCTTTCTGTCGGTAGAAGCCGATCTGTCCTACGTCCATGTCTCCGGTTTTCTTCAGGTTGGCCCACGGCGTGTAAACAACGTTGATGTTGTTCATCTTGCAGCCTGACGGCATAAACACAGTTTGCTTTGATACACACGGACGACGAGACTGCATGTGTCGCTCACAATAAAACACTTCGACAGGATGATTCCTCAGGGTAGACGCAGCCTTTAAATACGGCAGATCTGGATAATAAAGGCAACAAAAGGCTCATTCTGAAACCTGCCTCTATCAGAAGCAGATCTTTACCTTGGATGCTGTTGTTTTTCACCAGCTGCACACAGTCGATCAGCACCTCTGGGGGGATGTCGTGTATCGTCTGACCCTAGAAAACAGAGACACACAGACGATCAGCAGAGCTTACTGTAGGGCGCTGTGTCTGATCACTTCTTCAACAATCTGACAACCGAAGCCTCTTCATGCAGCGATTCTTCTTTACAAACGACCTCCAACACTTTTTTATGTGTACAAATGATTTTATGGACAAGGGGGAAAAAGTGTGGCACATAATCCTCATTCAGAACAGGCAGAAACACTTTTGTATAAAGTAATGTGTTTCAACCACAGTGTGCTATGTAGCCTTTCTACATTAAAGAGTCTAAAATGATAGAGTTTGTTGAGTTGTGTACTTTATTCAGGATACAGTGTGTTTCATTGGTCGCTCTAACCTCAGAGGAAACACGGGACCGTCAGAGAGTGACGAAGGACGAGATTTTACAGGAATGGTGTTTGTTAAACAGTGAAGACAACAACTCCCATGATCCCACGCTACTTCACTACATCATCAAACTTCATCTTTTGTTATTGTTTTCATGTGTTTTTGGTGTTTTTGTATTTTACATTTCAAGGACTTAATATGAACATGGTTTCTGTCTCATTTGTGCTGATTTACTCTAAAAGTAAAGAAAGATAAAGAAAACGTAAAGCCGAACTCTTCGTACTGACGGTGAATCAGTTCAACCTGAATACTGCAGAATCAGTATGATGAAGCCGTGATTGTGAGTGTGTGTTTCAGTGTTTAGGGTTCAGTGACTCCTTACCTTTGGCAGTCTCAGGTAAACGTGAGCCGAAGACAGTTTGTCCACGTGAAACCTGGACAGGAAACAAAGAAGACGCCGTGAACCAGAGGAGCGACCGAGTCACAAGAAAGTCTCGAGTCCTAAACAAGTCATAATGTGTCTGACTGGTTGACCTGCAGGGAATAAACAGCATGAAGTTGTCGAAGGAAATGAATTCATTTGTTTGTCGTTAATCTTGTGAAGTTAAAGGTTTTAAAGTCTTTTTTTAAATGTTGTGGAGTCTAAAGTCATCAGATTTGTGACTTGAGACCGAGTCACGTGATTGTTGTTGTTTGTGTCGGAGTGATTGTTATTCCTTCTTTCTGTTTGGTGTTTCATCTTGTGTTAAAGTGTAGAATTGATTGATTACTGATCTTTAATCTCCACTAGTGACCTCCGCCCAGGAACTACAGGCAGAAATGAGCCTGTTATAACCTGTATTGTCCCTGCTACATAAACAATAAACAAACAAACAAACACAAACAAACGTGACCAGGGTCAGCACCTCTGTCATTAACTAACATTGTGCTGACAGATTATTTAGTACAAGATGTAGAAGTGACACTTAAAGAAGTGTTCAATTCAAAAAGGTCTCACCAGATGTCTTCAGGCCATCCGTACTTTATTAAATCCTCATCTGCAGAACAACAACCACAGCGAGTTAGAGGCTTCATTAATGACACATGTTAGTCCAACAACCACACAGCATCAAGTGTTTAAAGTCTGCGATTCAACGACGAACAACTTACTTTCATATTTGTCTTTTCCCATGTAGATTGTGTACGGAGGGTTCACCACTGAGAGACAAACAACACATAACTGCTTAATGCACGAAAACAGCAATTCAGCTGCCACAAAAACACACGAAATACACAATTAAATGAGAACTAAAACCAGCAGCCTCCAAAAAGTAGTCGCTTCCCAGGCAGGCTGCGGCTTCACTCACCGGCACTTGTGAAGTAAAACACCATTTTAAGTGAGTTAAGACTGATGAAGAGTGAAGTTCCTGATGAAGATGAAGAAATGCAATCAGCTGTGAGCTCACTGATCGATGCTGTCACTACAACATGTACGAGTTGACCCCGGAAGTTGTTCGCCAGCTGCGTCAAGCTACAGAGCGTTAGCACGTGAGCACACCGGAACTGGTTACAAAATAAAAGCTTGACATAAGTTTGATATTGTCCCAGTGTGGGAGGATTTGGGTATTTCTCTGCATGCTTCCGGTACATGTTTACCCCATCTAGCTATTAGAGTGTTGAATACATAGTCTGTATTTCACTTTGTTTGTTTTGTTTGTTTGTTTGTTTGTTTATGAGGAACAATACATCAGATTAAGGTAAAATTCATCTTAATCACACTGAACTTACTGTACATTGTGGCAGATCTCTATTTATTTATATTTTATAGATGTATACTACTTACATTTTCCTTATTCTATACTATAATTGTCATTATAATTCACTTCAGCACTAATATTATATGTAAGTCCTCCAAAATTGTAATTTTAACAACTTTACAAGCAGTTATCAACTTTATCAGACTTGCTCATCTCTCATGTGGTGTTCTGGTCTGCATCCGTGGATGAAAAAGCTCAACGTTATTACACAGAGCGTCTACTTCAAGTTCCACATTGAGGCTCGGAGGTCCTCTCTCTCTCTCTGTGTCACGTACACCTCTCCCTGCTCGCCAAAAGCACCCCAAAACCTCCTGTCAATCATAGCGAGGGCCGGAAGTTGGTGAAACAAACCTTTAGTAGTTAGGGCCCGAGCACTGACCGTGCGATGGCCCTATTGTAATTGAAGGAATTATTTTTCCTGCCAAAAAACGCCGATTTTTGGAGGCTTTCCATGCTCGAAAACTCATGAAACGCGGCGCACATGTTCAGTCGTGGCGCAAAGAATTTTCTTATTTTCTAGGGTCCACTATGAGCCATGACAAAATGGCCCCCCCAGGGGGCCCCATAAACTGCATCATCAGGTCCTTTCACTGATATGCATAAAATCGCGCACATGGCGTAGATCATATCCAGACAAAACAAATAAATGAAAGAGGGAGTGTCATAATGAATTGGCTTATACAATAGATAGAATTGAATTAATGCCAACATGTCAGTTTATCACTTTTATATTTGGTTGATGAAATGATTCTTTATGGAATGATTGATTTCCTCACTACAGCTGCTCCACAAGTTCACCTTTCTAACACAAGGGGATTTCTGGACATCAGTCCTTAAAGCTGCAGATTCCTCTCAAATCATGATTTCTCTCATTTCAAACAAACTTTTGGACTCTTTCAGCCATCATTAGTTTCTGACTTATATACCTGACTTCGTTCTGTTGGGATTGAA